CTGGCCCTGCGGGCCGAGCCGGCCCCGGCCGCTCTGCGGCACCCCCGGGGCGGCTCCCCGAGGGCACACGGCAGCCCAAAGCGGCACCCGAAGGGGGACCCTCACTGCCAGGGCTCAGCGCCGCATCCCGGCCCATCGTCCGGCCGGGAAGGCACCTGGAAAGTCATCGGCTCCCAGCGGCAGCCTGGCACCGCCAGCGGCACCCCTGCACCGGGTCCCCGAGGGCCACAGCCACACGGCTCTTGGCCCTTTGCAGGGACACTGGCTCCAGCTCCTCCCTGCTGCACTCCAAGGCCATTTCCTCTCCTCCGGAAAGGACTCCATGCTGATCCTGGGGCACTTTGGCCATGAGGAATGGACACAGACAGGAGGTGTTGCTCCCAGGACACAACGGCGGCCTGCTGGACTGCAACACACACAATTCTAACAAAAGAAAAGAAAACTGTGTTTAGGAAGTAGTAGTAGGCAAGAAAAGAACCCCAACCCCCCCACACCCCCACTAAAACCTGCATAAGACCCTCCAGAAACAAAGAAATGATAAAGAATAAGAATAGGAATATTAGGAAGTAGAGGTAGAAGCTGAAGTAGATGAAGACATAGTAGTACTTAAAACATGGAAAATTAAGAATAAGAATAAAATGTTGGAGTCTGGAATACAGAGTGTGTGCCCTTGTTTCTGATACTTAGTTATAAGATCCAGTTATAAGTTCCCCCAGGCAGGGCAGGTCCCTGGGTGCTGCCCCTGGCCCAGATAGTTTTCAGATGGAAAAACTATCAGAGGTAAGGTTTTAGAAGACAAAATGTCTTCCCTGCTGACAGCACCATAAGGAATAGCTGCAGGGCAGAGTTTTAAAAACAGAGGTTGTCTTGACCTCTCTACAGCCTTGCATGGTGCTCAGCATGATAGATCAGGGGAAAAATATTATAGTGGGTCAGACACATCTCATTGCAACAGAGATGCAACAGCACCCCTGATTTTTCCATGGTTCTGGATGACAAGAACTAGGATACTGCATTTAATATGACTACAAGAAGGGTTTGGAAAGACAGAGCTCAGAAAAGAGCAACAAAATAATTAAGGGACTAGAGGGATTTACCTATGAGGAAGATTAAAAGAACTAAATCAATATGTCTAGTTTGGCTAAGTGATAACTAAGGAGAGGCATTTCAACCATCTACAGATGTTTGACTGACACACACACACCCTAGGGAAGGAAAGGAATTACTTAGCAGGAAACAAGCAGGTATATCAGGGAGTAATGGAATGAAATTAAGAAAGAGAAAACTGAGGAATTTAAGGCAAATCCTCCTGACAATGGGTTCTAATAGTCTGTAGAAAACATACCAGCATATGTGCAACATATGGGAACAGTCTTGAATTGATAAGGAGGGGGACTTAACTGATTTGATGGGCCTTTCCAGTCTCAAATATTTATGATTCTATAATTAAGCATTATTAAATTTAATGACATGTGCCATTTTGTTTTCAGCAAGTTCTGACTGTTGCCTCAGGTCATAAGTGTGCAATTATTTCCTAACTAAAGGTCTTACTTTTTTACTCATGAATCCTTATGAAATTAACTAGGCTGGTCTGCTATTTTTTTTTTTTCTTAACTTAAATTGAATTTCTATTAATGCATTTCCTCTTATTTCCAACCAGCAGCTCTCTCCCTCAGTTAACAACTCACAATTCCCTCTTTATGCAAGGCAAGCCTGCACACTTAGAGCTTCGTGGCTCGGTGCCTGAACCTGCTCAGCCTCAGGCTGAATGCCTGCTGTGTTCAAGGGAGCTGCTGTTCCCAAGCCCAGATGAGCACAGGGGCTCTTCTTCCTCTGAGGATGAACTGCGTGCAACAAAGGGGGAAAAAAAAAAAAAAGTTAGATGATATTTTCAGCTAAGAGCTGTTTACAGAGCTTTGAAAGCAGATCACGGCCAGATGAAAAGCTTCATGTCACTGCTCACCCCTGTGTCACAGCACCACTCAGCAAATGAAAACAGGTGTTTATGTGCTATTGCCCAAGCTCCTGGCCAGGATCACAGCTGGTGGGTAGCAAGTTTCCTCTATTTCTCTTTGGCAAACTCCTTGGTTTTGATGCACATGCCTGCTTGTGCCAAGATATATTCCAAAATATCCCCCCAAATGGGTACAAACCTAGGGAGTGATCAGGAGGTTGTGGTCTCATGTGAGCAGTCATTTTGGGGATCCAAATGGTTTGTTCTGCTCTGTCTCAGACAGTGTCTGCTGCCTGAGTGTGCTGCAGCTTTTGCTGATATTTTACCATTGCCCGTGTTACAAGCACAGCTCCTCAGGAAGGTTGATACAGCCTAATTCTTTATTACCTAATCTCTTATTAGGTGAATTATTACCTAAATCTATCTTTTGTCCAGGAAAGAGTGCAAGGCAATCTGTGATGCCTGCTGCTTTTGTGATACTTTCTTTCGGTTTCCCCCAGTAGTGCAGCTGCAGACTGGGCACGCTGGATCATCAATATCTGACACTCACACTCCCTTCACTCTTGACTACTTGCTTAAAGCTCCTCTCTTATTATGTGTGCTGGACCCCAGCCTCAGCCAGGGCAGTAAATGGCAGCAGTTTCACATCAGGATGTGGTGACAGCAGTGCCTGCAAACACTCTGCTGTAGCACTGGCAGCGTGGGCTCCCTCCTGAAGGACGAGATGGATCTTCCCCAGCCCCGACAGACAGAGTCCCCTCTTTGCTACCTGCCCCTGATCCTGAGCCCAGAGATGCTGTCTGCCAGCACGTGTGAGAGCTGGTTCTCTGAGGAGATCAGAGGATGTGAGAGCCTGGCAATTTCATCCCAGAGAAGTAAATCCTCGGTGAAAGAGGCTGGCTGCTGGCATTACGATATGCTCAATGCTAATTACCAGAAATCTAGTTTCCAAATCTTTTCACTTTTAAGATACCACTGCAGCAATCAGGCTGAAGTGGGATAATTAAACGAAGCACTGTCTCCTCTCCCCTCCTCCCCCCATCACTCTGCAGCCCTGTCTGTCATTTCCCAGCACGGAATGGCTGAGATGTGGGAGGCTGATAGGAAAGCTCAGTATGTAAAATGCTGAGTGCATTTTACAGGAGGTGTGGCTTCAGCACAGCTTCCTCACTAGGAAAGAGCCACAAGGAGCCCTGGCTGCTCCTGTGGATGGTTTATCACTGAGCTGAGTCCAGTCAAAAGTCGGTGAAAAAGATGTAGGCAAAGAAAGAGAAGAAGGAATGAGAATATTTTCCCCTTTTCCCAAAGCAAGAACAGGCAAAATCTCGCTCTCCTTTTGAAACCCACAGGTTGTGAATCCAGTTTTGGCAGCTGTGATAAATGTGCTGAAGCATCCAAATACTTGGGGTATAAGGAAAGGATTACTGCTTGTCAGAAGTTGTCTATCTTTTGAATATTCTGCCCAAAGCAGCAAACAATTGAGTAACAACTTGGTACTGATAGCTCTTCATTAAGATACAGCAACCTCAGCCATTGCCTTAGTCCACAGTCTTCTCTCTGTCTCCACGGCTTAATAAAACAACTTTAAATGTTGCAGTTTTGGTCTTAAACCAAGAAGAGGAATTGTTCTTTCACATTGTCGTGGTTTTAAAGCAGTAACTAAAAAATTACTAGAAAACTTCCTTATTTCTTGCTGTGAGATATGGATTAGAGCAAGAGCAAAATAGGCTTAAAACTTAAAAGGAAATAAAGGAAGTTTATTAACAAAACTACAAGAATAAGAACACCAGAATAAACTTCCAGAAAACCCTTTTATCCCCCACTACCCACCATTCCCTTGTTCACATGACAACATAGAGACAAAAAAACTTTGGAACTTTGGTGTTTAAAACAGTCCCAATTCCTGCTAGAGTCTTTTCATCAGTCTTTGTAGAGAAACAAAAGTCTTCTTCTGCTAATCTATGGAGTTTCTCACAAGAAAACTATTTCTGTTATAGCTTTCTATTTCTCTGATGTCAGCTGCCTGGAAATCTGTCAACAGTTCACTCCTCCCATTTCACATCACTCTGAGGTGTGTTATGGGTCAAATGAGTCTAGGGATGTCATTTTTAAGGATGAGTTATTCAAAGGCAAAAGTTCTCTTCATCTGTCTCTGTGAGCCTCCCTGGAAACAGAAATTTTTCTCTTTGCCTCTCAAGGCTCCAAATCTTCAACTATTACTTCTCCCCTCTGTTCCAGCACTTCACTGTATCACAATTACTCCACCTTTTACTCAAAATCCACACTTTGAACCACTCTATTCCTTCCAATATGCTCTGAATTAAAGGAGCTCTTTTTCAGAACACTATTGTCCATCTCCATAGCTTTAATAGAAAAATATTTCAGCTTAATTATAGCATCTCTTTATTCTCTCTTCCTCATCTAAAACTTAACTCTTTTCGTCACTGTCTTTGAGGGTTTTATGATGTCTTCTTCATGTTATCTTTCTCTTTCTCCTCCTTCTCTCTCTCTGGAAAAAAGGAGTAATCTGTAAGTTTCATCCAAGTAGTAAAAGAGTTAAAGTCTTGGAAAGCTGCAGATGTTCATGGTGTCAGGTTTCAGTTCAGCAGCAGAAACTGCAAACCAAGCCAGGCTGGCTCCGTTTCCCCCCTCCCCACCCTCTGTGGCCTTGTCCAGCCTGGAGTGGGGTGGGGAAACCGAGACAGAGCCCTGTTACCTCGTCAGAAGCCAGAAACCAAAGAGAACAAAAGAACCCTGGCTTTACATTTTAAGATAGTGTTCACAAGTTGATCTCACTTCTCAATGGTTAAAACCACCACCAATTCTCAGAAATGACCAATAATTGGTCAGAGGAAAAACTCCCATCAGCCTCTCACAGCTTCAACTTCCTCACAGCTCCCGAACACATCTTAAAAGTAAAGTCACCCCATGACGCACTGCAACTCCACCCTGCTGCTGCCAGGCCCAGAGGCCAAAGGGCTGTCCCAAAGCACTCAGGCAGGTGAGGCAGGAGAGCTGGGAGCAGCTGCCTGAGCTCCTGAAGCCCAGCCAGCCCAAGGGACTTCTTTGCCCAGCACAGCTTCAGCTGCTGCCCTGTCCTCACCATCGAAGGAAATTTGCTGAGCACCATGAGGCCTCTGAATGCCAGGCGACGCCTCTGCCTGCACTTGCTCTGCAGGTGCTTTGACATGATCTCCAGGACACTGTCACCACATTTACGCAAGTTCAGGCAATCCAGGACCTGAAAGGCACAGGGCAGTGACAGGGGAGCCGGCCGGCAGGAGCCTGGAATTGGGCAGGGCTGGGCCCAGGCAGCAGCACAGGGCACGGGCACCGTCCCAGGCAGCTGTGGCTATGCAAGGGGACAGGGCTGGCAGGCAGCTCAGCGAGGTAGTGCTGGCCATCGGGCTCACCTCCACAAAGAATGCCAGGAAGGGCAGATCCCAGGGTGGTTCCTCTCTGCTGAGCAGCTGGAGCAGGCGGAGTGCAATCCCAGAACACAAAGAGAGGGAGGCACCGTGCATCTCCCTGTCAGAGGGAAAAGGCACCAAGACCCTGAGTTGGAGGGGCAAGAGACCGGGACTGATTCACAGAGATCCGGTCTTTCCTCACCACACTGGAGGGGATGGGGGTGCTTTGGGGGGAGGCACCTTCTGGGCACCCTCAGCCAGCATTTTCCACTCTGCTTGGCCATCCCTCAGTGACAAGGCCCTCTGTCGCAGAACCACAGGGACTGTGTGAGGCACCCCACGCACAGGGCACAATTTCAGAGGCAGTGGGGAGAAGGGGGTCTCACCTGGCCAGCAGACCCACGGCATAGTGCTGGGTGTCAGCACAGAGCAGCGTGTCCCAGCCACACTTGCATCGCATTTCCATGACCACACTCTCACACCGCAGTCGGAAAAGCAGAGCCTTCATGGCCTGCACTGCAAACCTGTGTGCAGAGCAAAGCCCAGGTCACATTGGGTGCACTGGTGCTGGTCACAAAGGCATTGGAAGGACAGGAGGACTGGGACCTGTTGGGTTTTCTGGGAAGGCAGTATTCCTCCCGGCATGCTCTCCAGAAGCTGTCAACTTCCACTGGTGGCGTCTGCTGGGTGGTGATGACAACATGGAACAGCAGAGCCAGAAACAGGCGGGCGGAATAAAGGATCAACGCCTCGTGGCACTCAGGCGCTTGGATAATCAGCCAGAGCACCAGAGTTGCCTGCAAAAGAAGCACCCAAAGACAGCATTCAGTGCCGAGGTGTCCATGGGGCAGGGCCCGAGGGGAGACACAGGGGGAGCAGCAGGCCTGGTGCCCCCTGAGCCTGCCCCTAGCCCAGGTTTCAGCTCAGGAACTGAAGCAGGGAGAGGATGGAGAGCTGCTGGAGAAGCAACGTCTGGGTGATCAAATGCCAGCTCCAGGAACTCACAGCCAGAGCAAAAACATCCTTGTTGTCTCCATCAGAGGTGCAGATGCTGTGCAGAGGCCAATCCTCCATCACACAGAGCAGTGTTGGCAGCACTTTCTCTACTGTTGGTCCCGACGAGCCTATGGCTCTCCACATCATTTCAGCAGCTCTGTGGGATCAGAGCTCTGTGTCAGGGGTGTCTCAGTCACAGAGCCATGCCCTGTGTAGCTGTGGGGACCCAAGTGACAGAGCCCCAGTGCCCTGAGGGGCAGGGAGGGAGCATTGGCAGCAGCCTCAGGACACAGAGGGGCCCGAGGCTCCTGGACCTCTCTGCCTGTTGGGCAGAGCCCATTGGACAGGCTGTGCAGGGCCATGGGCCCTAAAGGCTGCTGAGCCCTGAGCTCTCAAGGCACGTGGGCCCCATACCTGTCACACGATGGGGCACAGTGCAGGAGGGTCAGCACCACATCAGCAGGGTGTTCTTCAGCCAGCCTTATAATGTCAATTTGCTGCCTGACATCCACAGTGACATGGGACACCAGACTCTGGTGAATGTTCCTTACAATAGCTGGCACCTGGAGGAGGCATGGGGAAGACTTGGAGTGCTGTCCAAGGCAGCAACTTCCCCAGCTTCCCCCAAGAAGTGCTTCCCTTCCCATCACACTGTGCTGGCCTCAAAGGCTGAGGGGGCCCTGTGGATGTGGCTGGAGGGGGCACACAATCCTGGGAGGCCTCCAGTTCTGGCCCCAGGCTGGGTACCTGCTGCTCAGAAGAAACACAGTTGTCCTTGAAATTGTCCCTTATGAGTTCCTGACTCAGAGCAGGAGTGGGTGTGATGTCAGCATCTGCAATGCCCTGAGTCTCTCCAGCATCATCATTTGGAATAGCCACATCCTCAGTTACTGCCATGTCAGAGTTTTCCCTCTCATCATTCACTGCAGTGTCAGAGTCTTCTGAGCACTCAGCTGAATCTGGGCTGACATCAGGCTCTGCCTGGAGCTCGGTCAGCCCGGAGTCAGGCTCAGCTGTGCCCTCAGTTCCTATGGGGCTGATCTTTCTATGCCGAATGCGCAGGAACTTGCGGAACCTCTGTGCAAGGAGAACAAAGGACAGGGAAGAGAGGCATGTTCCATGGAGTGCTCCAAGCTCCACTGCTGGGCTGAGCAGTGCCAGCAGGCCCAGCCCAGGTGGGGATGGCTGCAGGTACCTGCGCTGCTCTGTGGAAGCGGCCACGGGCAGGCTCCTGCTCTTGTGTCCTGTCCATGGCTGCATCTGGCAAAGAGCAGCCAGAGCTGAGGGGTTGCGGGAGAGGCCGGAGAACACAGCCCAGCCCTGCACTCCCCAGGCAGGGACAGCCCTGGGGTGGCTCAGGGTATGGAGCACAGCCAGTGCCGGGGTCAGCCCCAATCCCTCTTGTGTCCTGTCCATGGGCATGTCCACAGCGGACGGGGCGGGATGGGACGGGACGGGACGCAATGGGATGGGATGGGGCCAAGATGGCCGCAGGCACCAGCCCTGTGGCCCAGCTCTGCCACTCACCCTCCTCCAGCGGCTGGAACTGCTGCACCTCTTCAGTCTCTGGTCCTGGGGCAGCTCCAGGGCCTTCTTCCTCTTCCTCCTCCTCCTCCTCCACCCA